CATAGCAGTGTGCGTGGCCCCTTGAGAGGCCAATCGCCCCATGGCAGTTCGTGAAGGCGAACCACTGCAGCTCGGAAGTCCACATATCTCACCCCCTGCGTGTCAAGGGCGACTGACTGAATCCGAGCATCGCCGCCTGGAGCGCCGGCGATGGCGGCAAGAGCTGCGGCCACACCACCAGGACCAGGGCCACCACTTGCGGCAGGCGCGGGGGCGGCGGCAGGCCCAAGCGCCGGCGCGGCCACGGCGGCGCCGCCCAGGGCGCCAGGAGCAGCGGGGGGAGCCCCTCCTCCGCCAAAGGGTACGACAGCTGGAACTCCTCCTGCCGCAGGTGCAGGCGCGGCCGCCACTGGCACAAGGGCGGCTGCCCCAGCTGGCGCGGCTGCTGGTCCGCCTCCGAGGGCTGCCGCCAGCCCCGCCAGGCCGCCCAGAGCCCCCGGCGCGCCGCCAGCGCCTCCCGCAGCGAAGGCCCCCGCAGGCCCAGCGCCAGCCGGAGCGCCTATCACGGCTGCGATGGCACGCCCTGCCGTGTTCAGCGCGATCGGCGGCCCAGCGCCCAGCCCAAGAGTGCCCCGCACTGAGGCGGCACCCGCTGCGACTTCTCCGGGAAGAGGGAGACCACGGAATCGGTAGACCTGATCCCCAGCAGTGGCGGCAGCCACGGCGCCGACTGCGGCGCCGGCGGGAATGGCGTACTCCCTGATGTCGGCCCCGTTCTGCATGATGGCCTCCACGTAGGCGTGTCCATCAGGAGTCAACACCCCTGTCACGAAGGGCGGCACCGTCTGGAACGCCAGGATCAGACGCTCGTGCCAGATCCGGCCACCTCCCACACGATACAGCACCAGGATGAAATCGCCCTCGTCGAGTCCGTCCAGAGCCAAAGGGTGTCCACTGGCCGCCGCGGCGGCTGCAGAGCTGGCCATCACGATGCACAGGCCCGCGCTCTGACTGCAGTCGCCTGCGCTCTAGCCGCCTCCTCCAAAGAGGGCTGAGGCGGGAGGCGAGTGATCGGCTGCCAGGGGCTCAGCCACCGGGCGGCCAGGAGCCCTCCTGCGAAGCCAGTCGCGCCCGCGAGGGCCACCGCAGACAGCGCCCACCCTGGCGACCCGCCTGGGCAGTCCACGCGCGTCACCTCCTGGCCGGGGGCGCAGGTGAGGGCCGGCGAGCACGTGCAGGCTGGGCACTCACCGCGGGCTGCCCACAGCAGCGCAGCTTGACCTGCGCCGTGCACCGCCTCGCCAGCCAGCCATGCGGCGAAGGCCATCGAAGTGCCGTCGGCTTGCACTTTGAGCCCAGTGCCAGCGGGGCAGGCACAGACGAATGCGGCGCTCTCTCTCCCCAGGGCTCCGCTTCACGTTTCACAACTGGACATATATGTGTCATTACGCTGATGCGGGCATATATATATATATATACACAAATATGCAGGCACCCACACACACATGCAGATAAGAGAGAGCGAGAGAGAGAGAGAGAGCGATAGACAGAGGGAGTGAGAGAAATAGGGAGAGAGCGATAGAGAGAGGGAATGAGCGAAAGAGAGAGAGAGAGAGAGAGAGAGAAAAAAAAAAAAAAGAGAGAGAGAGCGAGAGAGACAGATCCGCCAACGTTGGTCCGTTGACGCATGTTTGAATTCCAAGCGCTGCCTCGCACAGTCTCTGTAAATATCACAATGCCCCCCCCCTCTTATCGCGCTTACTCGCGTGCATTCCCCCCTCCTCCGCTCCTGAGACTCCACCCTGGGGGGGGCCTAACGCATCCCAGGGGCTCTCCTGAGCTCTGCAAGGCTTCCGAGACGGCCCAGGAAGGTCATCAAGACCGTAAAGATGGCACAATGGCGAAACGCTGCCCCAAGAGACACCCAACGGACCCGAGTGAGTGCACAATAAGTGCTAATAGGCCTCCAGGAAGCTCCACACCCCTGAGACGCTCTCCAGGGGGTCCGGAGAAGCCAGAGACACTGAAGCATCTTAACTCAATGTGTGTCGCCTTTCACGCTCTGCGGTCGAACATCGTTCCTCTTGCGGTCTTCGTAAACCGAAAAGGACCCGCTTGAGAACCCCAGGAGGGCACCTAAACGGCCTCAAGAGAGCCCCCACCTGGCCCGAGAGGCCGTTCACAGGAACCCGAGACGGCCAAGCATGCCACAGGACGGCCAGAGAGGGCCCCAAGACGGCCCCACGACGGCCAGAGTTACGAGGGGGGGGATTTATCCATATCCACCGCCTGGGAGCCGACGTCCTGGTGCCCCAGCGGGCGGCCGAAAACTGACCCTCCAGGCGGTGGATATGGATACATTCCCGCCTCGGAAGAGTAGCGACCCCCCCAGGAAGCCAACATGGCTCACAGACGGCTCCCGTGCGCCCCTCGCCGGGAAGCCGTCGCTGGCGGGGGCTGGCGGCGCTGCCACGGCATGGCCCCGCAGGGCCCCGAGGCGGGCCAGGAGGACCCAAAGACTACGGCAGAGAGCCCCAGGGGACCCCCACGGCTGCTCCGCAGGGGGTGGAAAGGGCGCCACGGGCTTCTCGTCACTACGGGGGGGGGTCCGCCTCGGGGATCGGAGGAGGGCCAGTCTTGAGTCGGGCGTGTCCCCCCTACAGGGGGATTTTGGAAGAAAAATTATGCTAACGGAGTTCCCCACATAAAGAGATTAACGGTTTCGTGGGACCCATTTTCTTGATGCCCTCCTCGCTTTGGCGGGGCCCCGCTGGAAGGGGGGAGGGCTACGAAACCTTGCGAAGAGCAATGCTTTCCGCGACCCTCCTCGCTCAGGCGGGGCCTCCCTGGAGGGGTGGGAGGGGCACGAAACCATGTAAATAGTATGGTATTCCGATACCCTCCTCGCTCAGGCGGGGCCTCCCTGGAGGGGTGGGAGGGGCACGAAACCATGTAAATAGTATGGTATTCCGATACCCTCCTCGCTCAGGCGGGGCCTCCCTGGAGGGGTGGGAGGGGCACGAAACCATGTAAATAGTATGGTATTCCGATACCCTCCTCGCTCAGGCGGGGCCTCCCTGGAGGGGTGGGAGGGGCACGAAACCATGTAAATAGTATGGTATTCCGATACCCTCCTCGCTCAGGCGGGGCCTCCCTGGAGGGGTGGGAGGGGCACGAAACCATGTAAATAGTATGGTATTCCGATACCCTCCTCGCTCAGGCGGGGCCTCCCTGGAGGGGTGGGAGGGGCACGAAACCATGTAAATAGTATGGTATTCCGATACCCTCCTCGCTCAGGCGGGGCCTCCCTGGAGGGGTGGGAGGGGCACGAAACCATGTAAATAGTATGGTATTCCGATACCCTCCTCGCTCAGGCGGGGCCTCCCTGGAGGGGTGGGAGGGGCACGAAACCATGTAAATAGTATGGTGATTCGATACCCTCCTCGCTCAGGCGGGGCCTCCCTGGAGGGGTGGGAGGGGCACGAAACCATGTAAATAGTATGGTATTCCGATACCCTCCTCGCTCAGGCGGGGCCTCCCTGGAGGGGTGGGAGGGGCACGAAACCATGTAAATAGTATGGTATTCCGATACCCTCCTCGCTCAGGCGGGGCCTCCCTGGAGGGGTGGGAGGGGCACGAAACCATGTAAATAGTATGGTATTCCGATACCCTCCTCGCTCAGGCGGGGCCTCCCTGGAGGGGTGGGAGGGGCACGAAACCATGTAAATAGTATGGTATTCCGATACCCTCCTCGCTCAGGCGGGGCCTCCCTGGAGGGGTGGGAGGGGCACGAAACCATGTAAATAGTATGGTATTCCGATACCCTCCTCGCTCAGGCGGGGCCTCCCTGGAGGGGTGGGAGGGGCACGAAACCATGTAAATAGTATGGTATTCCGATACCCTCCTCGCTCAGGCGGGGCCTCCCTGGAGGGGTGGGAGGGGCACGAAACCATGTAAATAGTATGGTATTCCGATACCCTCCTCGCTCAGGCGGGGCCTCCCTGGAGGGGTGGGAGGGGCACGAAACCATGTAAATAGTATGGTATTCCGATACCCTCCTCGCTCAGGCGGGGCCTCCCTGGAGGGGTGGGAGGGGCACGAAACCATGTAAATAGTATGGTATTCCGATACCCTCCTCGCTCAGGCGGGGCCTCCCTGGAGGGGTGGGAGGGGCACGAAACCATGTAAATAGTATGGTATTCCGATACCCTCCTCGCTCAGGCGGGGCCTCCCTGGAGGGGTGGGAGGGGCACGAAACCATGTAAATAGTATGGTTTTCGGTATGGGGTGGTATGGAATGGTATGGTAGGTGTGGTATGGAATGGTATGGTAGGTATGGTATGGTACGGTATGGTATGGTCTGGTCTGGTATGGTACGGTATGGTATGGTATGTGTGGTAGGAACTATGGTATGGTATGGTGTGTGTGGTAGGCATAATATTGTGCTGTATGGAAGATGGAGCGGGAGGTGGGTGGGAAGGAGAGGGTGTTCTGGGTAACCTCAGGAACGTCGCTCACCCTTACTGACGAACGATCAACACGCACCCATACCCATAGGGGAGACGGAATGAGCTATGGGTGCGTGTTGTCGGATAGGGGTCCCCGCTCGAACGGGAGCCTCCTCAGGGTCCGACAACCCGCACCCATACCCATAGCCAGTCCTCTTCCCTCCGACCTCCCTATGGGTATGGGTGTGTGTGTTGTCCGTTCGTCACTTACTGCATGCGGGTCGACTGTGGCGCCCCCCGGCTGGCTCAGCCTGGCCCCCTCGGCGGCCGCCGCGCGCACCGCCGAGGGGCCGCCGAGGGCGGCCGAGGGTCGCGAGCCGAGGGCCGGGCGGGGGAGGAGGGGGGAGGAAGAGGAGGAGGAGTAGGAGGAGTATGAGGAGGAGTATGAGGAGGAGTATGAGGAGGGGTATGAGGAGGAGGAGGAGGAGGAGGAGGAGGAGGAGGAGGAGGAGGAGCAGGAGGAGCAGGAGGAGGGTGATAAGGAGGAGGAGGAGGAGGAAGAGGGGAAGGAGAGGGAGCGAGGAAGAGGGGAGCCGCGCGCCGCGAGCCGTCCTCCTCGGAGTCCGGCGCCGGCCAGCGGTCGTCCTCCGAGGACGGCTCCGGGGGCGGCCTCGCCTCGCGCCGCGGGCCCGCGGGGCGGCGGGGAGGCGCCCCGGGCGCGGCGGGGTCCTGGCGGGCGGGGCGGGTGCGGGGTGCGGCGCCATGGCGGCCGCCCTCGGCGGCGGTCAGCGACGGCCTCGGCATCGGCGGCCGTCGGCGGCCAACCTCGGTGGCCGTCGGCGGCGGTCGCACTCGGCGGGCGTCGGCGGCCCTCGGCGGCCCTCGGCGGCCCTCCGAGGCCCTCGGAGACTGGCGGCGGCCGCTCCCGTGCGGCGGGGTGCGGGAAGGGGTGGGGCTCCACGGTTCTTGTCTGGAGAGCAGGGGGACGGGCTCACGGGGGGGGGCACACCGAACTAGAATCGGCGATGTATCGGCGACGTGCCCCCGATGACGAAACCGCACGCTCCTGGGAGGGGTGGGCCTGTCAGGCCCATATGCTATGGGTGATGAGTGGGCGAAGCCAGAGCCCCTCGAGGGTCCTGCCCTTGCACCTGGTCTGACGGCCAATCGATCTTAGAAGTTGCAGGCTGGAGCCAGTAACTATCATGTCAACCCGTAAGCGTCCAAAGATCAACATCAGAGTGTGAAAGCCAAACGGTCATTCACTGTTCCTGGACGCGTGGCAAGAAGTGGTGTTCCGTCCAGCGGATTGTGCTTGTTGTGTTGTTGCGTTGTCGTCGTCCTCGCCCGCGACCCACCCGCGACCAACCTGCGACCCACCCCGCACCCGCCCCCTCACTCTTATCCGCAATTGCGGGGGGCTGCGTGTTAGCATGTTCACAGATCCCTTGGCCAACGGCACCCCGTGCGCATGGTAGCGCACACCGATATCAAGAGATGCAACTTCACAAGGCATGGCCGTCTGGTGCCCCAGGACTCCGGATACCAAACCCCCTCGCGTAGAGAAAACACCACGAGCGAAGGTACATGCCTTTCTTGCCCCCAGGGCCTCTTCCCACGAGAATCGAACGCCTAATCACCTCAGGATGAAGTGGCCGAGACACCCGGGAGTCCGCCTTCCGAAAGCAAGCTGACGTCGGTGCTCTGGGGCCGAAGGTCGAGGATCAAGCTCTCTGGGCGCATCGGGCCCTGTCTGACTACCTACCAGACCGCCCCAACCCAACCCGAAGACCCGAATTTCGGGTTGGGGGGGGTAAGGGTTCCACATGTGTTTTCTCGACGCTTCCCGACCCCCCCCCACTGGAAATCGATGGTAAATCTGAGCCTTCGGGTTGGGTTGGGGTGGTTAGGTGGGTGGTGACTGTCTGAACCTCGACGCGCCCCCAGACAGCTTCCACCCCGGGGCACAAGCGACGCCTCTGCCCGGCGCCGCTCGGCGGCGCTCGCGCTCCCTGCGAGCTCGGCACACACTGCGACGGCCGATCTGCGCCTTTCAAAACCCGGCCGATGCTTCGAAGGTGGCACGGGCACGAGCACGAGCACGCCCGCACATTGGCACCGTCTGGGGCGCTGCGGGTGCGGCGCCGGGGCGCCGGGGCGACGGAACAAAAGGAGGCCCGATCAGAGGGGGTCTGTAACTTGGTGGGGATCTCGAAGGGGACGGGGATGGGGATCGGGGTCGGTTCAACGATACTGAGAAATGGCCCCCCTTTTCGAAGCGGCCCGACCTGCGAAGCGGTCTGGGGGGCGAAGCGGCCCGCCTGGCGGGCCGGCCTCGTGCCGAGGGCCTGCCAGCGAAAGCCTCTGCGATGGCCCCTGCCGCGCAGGAGGCTTCGGCTTCCCCGCCCGAAGCTCTCTGACGCGAGGCCGAGCCGAAGGCGTGGGGCCCAGGGATCAGCAGGGCGCTCGCCTCCTCTGAGCACCCCCGCGGGCGGTCGTCCTGCTCGACTGTGCCGCGGGAAGGGGCGTCGCGGGGCGAGAGCAGCCGCCGGTGCCCTCGGCAGGCTGCGCGGGGGATCTCCGGCTGCGGTGGCTCCTGTGCGACGCAGCGGGCACCTCCTCCGCACCTTGCCCTCCGCGCCCTCCTCCCCGTGTTCCAGCCCTTTCCATGCCGGGCCTCCTGCACAGCTCATCCTGCTTCGCAAGGGGGGGAGGGTGCGACCACGGCCACCACACTTCCACCACGTGGCTGGTTCAAGGGTCCCTGGGCACACTGGTCACGCCACTCGAGCTGACCTAAGATGGGCAAGATCATGTAGTGGACTGATACAATATGCGATTGATATGTGCATATATATATATATATATATGTGTCATTACGCTGATGCGGGCATATATATATATACACAAATATGCAGGCACACACACACGCAGATAAGAGAGAGCGAGAGAGAGAGAGAGAGCGATAGACAGGGGGAGTGAGAGAAATAGGGAGAGAGCGATAGAGAGAGGGAATGAGCGAAAGAGAGAGAGAGAGAAAACAAAAAGAAAAAAGAAAAGAGAGAGCGAGAGAGACAGATCCGCCAACGTTGGTCCGTTGACGCATGTTTGAATTCCAAGCGCTGCCTCGCACAGTCTGTGTAAATATCACAATGCCCCCCCCCTCTTATCGCGCTTACTCGCGTGCATTCCCCCGTCCTCCGCTTCTGAGACTCCACCCTGGGGGGGCCTAACGCATCCCAGGGGCTCTCCTAAGCTCTGCAAGGCTTCCGAGACGGCCCAGGAAGGCCATCAAGACCGTAAAGATGGCACAATGGCGAAACGCTGCCCCAAGAGACACCCAACGGACCCGAGTGAGTGCACAATAAGTGCTAATAGGCCTCCAGGAAGCTCCACACCCCTGAGACGCTCTCCAGGGGGTCCGGAGAAGCCAGAGACACTGAAGCATCTTAACTCAATGTGTGTCGCCGTTCACACTCTGCGGTCGAACATCGTTCCTCTTGCGGTCTTCGTAAACCGAAAAGAGGCCGCTTGAGAGCCCCAGGAGGGCACCCAAACGGCCTCAAGAGAGCCCCCACCTGGCCCAAGAGGCCGTTCACAGGAACCCGAGACGGCCAAGCATGCCACAGGACGGCCAGAGAGGGCCCCAAGACGGCCCCACGACGGCCAGAGTTACGAGGGGGGGATTTATCCATATCCACCGCCTGGGAACCGACGTCCTGGTGCCCCAGCGGGCGGCCGAAAACTGACCCTCCAGGCGGTGGATATGGATACATTCCCGCCTCGGAAGAGTAGCGACCCCCCCAGGAAGCCAACATGGCTCACAGACGGCTCCCGTGCGCCCCTCGCCGGGAAGCCGTCGCTGGCGGGGGCTGGCGGCGCTGCCACGGCATGGCCCCGCAGGGCCCCGAGGCGGGCCAGGAGGACCCAAAGACTACGGCAGAGAGCCCCAAGGGACCCCCACGGCTGCTCCGCAGGGGGTGGAAAGGGCGCCACGGGCTTCTCGTCACTACGGGGGGGGTCCGCCTCGGGGATCGGAGGAGGGCCAGTCTTGAGTCGGGCGTGTCCCCCCTACAGGGGGATTTTGGAAGAAAAATAAAACATATTCCAAAACATACCCCCCAAAGCGCAAAAATGGTCCAAACATCGTCCCCAGACTATTGTTTGAGTATTTTTGAATGTTCCCCCTGTAGAGGGACAGGCCCGACTTCGGGCCAGTCAAGACAACGGCAGCTCTCTCTCTCTCTCTCTCTCTCTCTCTGGAGTTACTCGTCCTCCCTGGGGGCTCCTGGAGGCCCGTCGTCGCCATGGCTGTATATCTTTCCGCGGGCAGCCCCCAACCAACCAACCCGGCTTGTTGCGGTTCTCGGGGCGCCTGGGGGATTCCCGTCGCCACGGTTGGTTCCGCCTGGGATTTTTTCCACACGAGGCATTTTCTCGCAACCACACAAGGTGAATCGATCCTCGGGTCTGCACTCGCCGGACTACAGACGCAAGTGTAAAGAGAAGCTAAGTCACACATCATGTGTAGGATTTGCCGTCTTGGGGCAACGAAGCAGGATACAGTTGGGGCGCTGAAAAAGGAACCTTTCTCGTTGGGGAGGGGCTCCGTGCCCCTTAGTTGCTTCACAGTTTGTCTTTGCTTTCCCTCAGGCTTTCCATGAGAAATCGAAGATCTATGTGTGGAGAAAAGGGGCATCGTTCCTTCGCTAGGGTTCCTTAGGTCAACGCCCCGACTGTACGGTCGGAACTTTTCCGTAGCGTGTCGCGGTGGCGGCCCGGGCGACACGCCATGCCGTGCAAGCGGATAGCGTGCCGCCCCGCTCTGCGGGGCTGGGGGCTCGGAGAAGCTCGGCACACTTGCGCCTGGAAGTGGGGACGCGGATGGCGTGCCGCCCCGCTCTGCGGGGCTGGGGGCTCGGAGAGGCTCGGCAGACTTGCGCCTATGGAAGTGGGGACGCGGATAGCGCGTCGCGCCGAAGCGCGGTGGGCCAGGAGCGGCGGACCGACACGCTAAGCCACAGCTCCCGACCGCAGGCCGGGCGGCAGGGCCACCGTCGTCCCAGCCGTGCCCCCCTCCGAGAGGGAGGGGCGGGACACGAAGGGCACGGCGGGGCGGCAGGAAAGGCCGAGCGCAGCCCGGCACGCAGCACTGCCAAACCGGCGCACATGCGAGAGGGGGAGACGGAGGACACCTGCTATTACGGACACGCGCGCACACACACACACACAAACGCACGCACGCACGCACGCACGCACGCACGCACGCACGCACGCACGCACGCACGCACGCACGCACGCACGCACACACACACACAAACGCACGCACAACACACACACACACAAACGCACGCACAACACACACACACACGCACAAACACACACACACACACACAAACGCACGCACAACACACACACACACACACACACACAAACGCACGCACAACACACACACACGCACAAACACACACACGCACAAACACACACACACACGCACAAACACACACACACACACACGCACGCACACACACACACACACACACACACACAAACACACACACACACACACGCACACACACACACACAAACACACACACACACACACACGCGCACTTGTCGTTCGCACGCGGCGGGGGAAAGCCTCTCTCGAGCGCTCGCAGAGTCAAAGCCGAGCTGAGCGAGGCTACCAAGGAAGAGCGCTGAAGTCGAGCGCTAAGAAGCACGGACACACACATCCACACACACACACATTTGTTGTCCTCCAACGCGGCGATGGGGAGCAGTCGCCGGGCCACCTCAGAAAGGAGCACTCACGCGCACACATAGTTTGCGTCAGCGGCTAGGCAGAGGAACTGCGCTGGCGGAGAGCTAATCACGCGCACACGCACATACATACACATACGCACAGACACATTTACACAGATGCTGCAACGCGTGCAGCAACTACCAGGATGACATGGAGCCTCGGAAATGCTCATTCCTCAATGCTTGCTTGCCCGACGTTGGAGCGCACCGTGCTTTGAACACTTGCTGCGTGGGAGCACGCTCCTCCCCTCTGGGGGCTTGACTACCTACCAGACCACCCCAACCCAACCCGAAGACCCGAATTTCGGGTTGGGGGGGTACGGGTTCCATATGTGTTTTTTCAACGTTCCCCGACCCCCCCCCCTACTAGAAATCGAGGGTAAATCTGAGCCTTCGGGTTGGGTTGGGGTGGTTTGGTAGGTGGTGATCCTCCCCTCTGGGGGCTTGCCTTGCTCGAGCCAGGTCCCATGTCGGCTCGGGGCGCAGGCGACACCACACGCCGGAGGCCCACCGACCCGTGGGCCTGGCGCGTGGGCGCCAGCTCCACGGCTCGGGGGAGCACCCCCGGAACGGGAGACCGCTGCCGCCCGATCTGGCGACGGAGCGCGCCGACTGCGCACGGAGACGGGACCCGTCGCCAATCCGCGCGCCTTCCTCCCTGCCTCGCCAGCGGCGGCGGCGGCGACGGTGGCGGTGGCCGCCGACGACGACGACGATGACGACGACGACGACGACGACGACGACGACGACGACGACGACCACGACGACGACGGCCACGACGACGACGACGACGTCCTCCGGCCTCTGATGTTTCAACCTGCGGCCCCGGAGCGCCCAGCCCCGTCCCCAGGGGGCAGCTCTCCGACCCAGATCCACCTCTGATGATCCTCCTCCTCCTCCTCCTCCTCCTCCTCCTCCTCCTCCTCCTCCTCCTCCTCCTCCTCCTCCTCTGGCCGAAATCGGGGGAAACCACAGGGATCGAAAGTATCAGGCACTCCCAGGCATCTGGAGCTCCGATGTGTGCCATGCGTGGACCACCTGAGGTCTGGACAACTTCTCTGGGCCGTTTTTTTCCATCTTGTGAATTGGTTTGAATGTCGCAGGGCCTCTCGGTGGCCCCCAGGGTCGAAGATAGCCTTCAAACGGCCGCTCCGACTTTTTCTGAGCCTGGGATCCACACTTGCGCTTCCGATCCTGTGGCAACTCATGGAAGCCTCCAATGTCATCTTGCTAGCTCCTGCGGTCGACGCTGGCGAACGGTCATCGACGCTAGCCGCCGCTAAATCAAAGCTAATCAACGCTAGATCGGGGTTTTCTCATCGATTACCCCAATGTTAGCACACGCTAAAGCTCTCCACAGACGTAATCCCAAGGACGTACAAGGCTCCGATGAGTTGCTACCGAACGTCGCCAGAAGCGGCCCCAGGCTCCCAAGGTTCGCCCAACTTGTCGCGCCATCGTGGGACATCGGGGGCCCTCTGGGCCTGATGACCCAGACATGCCCGCGCCGTCAACAAAAATTCAAAAATCAAGACGGGAGGCTTTGGCTGTTTTTGCCCCCCAGGGTTGCTAAAAAACACCGCAGGGTGGAAAACCCGCCTATCCTCCCTGCTGCACCTCCTCCTCCTCCTCCTCCTCCTCATGCTGCTCCTCCTCCTCCTCCTCCTCCACCTCCTCCTCCTCCCCCATCCAGATCCTCCTCCTTGTTCTTCTCCTCCTCCTCCTCCTCCTCGTCCTCGTCCTCGTCCTCGTCCTCCTCCTCCTCCTCCTCCTCCTCCTCCTCCTCCTCCTCCTCTATCCTTTTCCTCATGAATAACTCCTCCCTGCCGCCCCCCGAGGCCAGTCGGAAGGGCGGGCTAGGCGCTTCGCCTGAGACGCCCTTACTATGTACGAGCCTCAAGCTTCAAAACTGGCAAAAGTTCTACGGATGGAGGCGGGTGGCTTCCCAAATGTGGATCTCGCATTAGCGCCGCGCACATTCGTTTCAACAATTTGCAAGAGCTTCACAGATTGAGGGCGGGCCGTTTTCAAAATGTGGCTCTCGCATCAGCGCCGAGCGCAGTCGCTTCAACAAGTTGAAAGAGGTTAGCGGGTTGAGGGTGGATAGTTTTCAATAAATGACTCTCGCCCTGGTGCCGACACATTCGGCTAAACAATTGCAGGAAGGAAATTCACGTGCTGAGGGTCGGTTCGTTTTCAAGATGTGGCTCTCGCCTTAGCGCCGGGCACACTCGTTCTAAACATTTGCAAAACTTTCACGGAATGAGGGCGGCTCGTTCTCATGTGGCTCTCGCATGAGCGCCGCGCACACTCGTTTCAAACGATTCCGAAGAGCTCCACAGATTGAGGGCGGATGTTGTTTTCAACATGTGGCGCTCGCTTCAGCCTCGCGCACATTCGTATCACAATGTCGCCAGGGCTTCGGTCAACGAATCTGAAACGGTGTGTTGGAACGGTCTAAGGCTCTCAGGGCGAAGCAGTTACGTTGCTTCGCGTTGTTGAAGTCGCAGAAACGGTGATCTGACACGATTCGGGATCGTCAAGACGCAACGCAACAATTAGGGTGATTCGTGGCGTCGACGTCCTGAGCATGGCAGCTTGGCACGCTTGAGGATTTTCACATAGTTTTCGCCCAACGAGGGTGCATTCCAACATGGTTGATGAGTCGTGGGTTTACACTGATCGTCCTCCTCCGCCTCCCTCCAAGGGAAGAGGTGGGAGGAGGGAGGAGGACGGAGAAGGGGGTGTGGAGGAGGGAGGTCCCCGCCCTCAAGGTGCTCCCCGGCTTTTGCCATGAGCTTTGGGCGCCCGAGTTGTCCGGGGTAACTCGGGTCTGGGGTAACTCGGGTTTGGATTCCCGAAAAAGGAACCCGAGTTAGCCCTGACCCGAGTTACCCCTGATGATTCAAGGCCCTGGACGCCCGAGTTACCCCTGATGATTCGGGGCTCTGAGAGCTGCCGCCGACCTCCCTTTGGACCAGGGCTAGGCCCCACGTGGCGGCCGCCGCGGGGCGGTCCTCCTCCGAGGGCGGCGCCGAGCAGCCGTCGTCCTCCGAGGGGCTGGCCAGCTCCCGGGGCAGCCGCGCCACGCGCCGGCTGCCTGGGGCGCCCTGCGTCGGCGGCGCGCAAGAGTGGACCTACCGTCGGGGCGTTGACCTAAGGAACCCTAAATAAGGAACGAGGCCCCTTTTTTCATAAGTTAACCTTCGATTTCCTGTCGAAAACATCAGGAAAGCCTGAGGCAAGCTGTGAAACACTTAAGGAACGCGGAGCCCCTCCCCAACGAAAAGGGTTCCTTCCTCAGGGCCCCGACTGTACTCGGCGGCGGGATCCGGACCCAAGGATCGAGGCTCGAGGCTCGAGGATCGGACCTTCAGTCAAAAATAGGATCACGAAAACTATCAGGTAGGCCCAGCCGTTTCTTACGGAAACGCTGGGCCAGCTTTTGGAGCCAGGAACGTGCGCGATTCATTTCTAGGATCCATGGCTACCAATCCACTGAAGAAGCTGAGCCAGCTTTCCGGCAAGTTGGTTAGGAAACGCTGGGCCAGCTTTTTCGGGGGGAGGTTTCTTAAGCATAAGCGGGACCGTACTCGGCGGCGGGTTCGAGGCTTTCTGGCCCTGGGGGGCCCTCCTCGTCACCACGGCTTCACGCAGCTCACGAAACTAGTGCCTTTAGACCCTGGCAGGGGTCTGGGGACACATTTTGATCGGAATCTGGAGCGACCCTCGCGGATCAACGATTCAGTGAATGCGCTGGGCGGCAGGGGTAGGGTTCGGAAGTCGTCCAGCAGGTGGCGAGATCCGAGCTCTGCCCCCGCCTCCCATCGAGTCAGGAGAATCAATGGGTGGTGGGGGTAGTATTCGGATGTCGCAACAGAACTACAATTGGCGACGCCCAGACTCAAAGATCCGAGACTTGGAGAAGAATCGCAACGGCCGGTTTTGGGCAAGTTTTGGCCTCCGCGCGGGCCGGCCCTCAACAGGCCTCGGGGCCGTCAATAGAAAGATTCGGGCTAAAAAACCGGGCCTGGGGAAGTGGTCCAGACCTTCAGGGGTCCACTTATCGAGGCGAGGCGAGGCGAGGCGAGGAGCCGGCCAGTCGTCCCCCCCGGGCACGGCCCTACGAGGGCCTGGCGGTGGCGCCGGAGCGCCGAGAAAAATGCTCCTCGAGGGGGAGGAGGGAGGGAGGAGGACTCAGGCCTTGGTGTTGGAGTTTCGCGCGCAGCCCCCTTGGGTCCACGCATCGAAACACTTGTAGCGCCGGACGTCTGGAAGGCGGTGGCGCGAGGGGGGCTGGATCCTAAGAAGGCGACGGGGCTTCCAAGAGGGCACGGGGGCTTCTCAGGATACCGCCCTGCTTCGGGGTGCTATGAGAATGCCCCGCAGCCACCTCTCAGCCTTGGAAGCCTCGAAGCCCCCGAAGGCGTCTAGAAAGCCTTATACTCGCGTCCAGGGCCCTCTAAAAAGGCTCCTGCATTCTAAGAACCCCCTCCGCCTCCGCCACCATCCCGCCACCCACTTGTGGGCGCCGCCGATCTAGGCAAGAGCGGCCTTTGCTGCGCGACTTTCGGGGGAGGCGGGGAGGCCGACCCCCCTGCGATCCCTGCGCTGCATCTCTTCACGCTGGGCGTTTTCGCCCGGTCTCGAGCCCTGGGACCCTCACAGATGGATCCGGCTCGAAAAGACGATGCAGAAAGACGCGGTCTAGGGCTCTAGTCGTGATTTCTCACGCTGCTGCAACTGTTGCGCAACGTCGGATCTCAGGGCCCGAGCGCGCAGGCCACTGCTGGCGCATGGCGTGCGG